TATATATATATATATATATATATATATATATATATATATATTAATTCACCTTGTGGCTCTACCTTCGCATCTTCAAGCAAGGGTCTTATCTGTTTATCTTCCGCTGCCCTCTCATTCAGTCTAACCCCCTCTTTTGCTTTTGGCAATAATTAATAGTTTATTTGTTTCCTATCAGCCACTTCACATCGTTATACAGATGCAAGGGCCTGGCCTATGCAACTCCATGTGTATTAATTGCCTGTTTTAAGGGACCCTCGACCGAATCCGAAACGCCTAGCTAATAAAGTTCTTGCCCCAGCAATCACATCGGCTTCTCTTATTCTTTTGGACAAAATATGGCTCCTGCTACTAATATAATCTGCCTCACAGGAGCATATAAATGAATTACGGCACATAGACTTGGTCGGCGTTGAAATTTTGTCCTTGGTTTTTCCGTAGAGAATGGAGATAGTCGAGACCAGTAAACTTACGTCAGCTGCTGAAAGGCTGCTTTAAAAGGCTTGACCTAAGGGTATTCTCTATTATTCATCTTGGTACTCACCTGATCCAGTAAAAATTGGACTCGCTTATAAGTAAAGCCGCAGCCGTATTTAATTTGAATAACTACCTAGTTATGTCATAGTAGTAATCATTTGTGGTTTTACTACTTTTCATAGACATCGGTTGTGTTTACACAAAGGTTGAACATAGTCCAACTTCGGCAATTATAATTCCTGTCGCATATCGGATCCACATACCCAGTTGTATCCTTTTACACGTTTTCCGAATTCATCGTTTTTCAAAAGATTAATTTTTCTTTTCTTCTTCCCCCTCTAGCCCTTTGGCAACCACGTCTGCACCCGCAGAATCTTCGGGCCTCGAGGCTGACTTTATCAGTGAGCACCGCCTACCCGCTGCTCTGCCAGGCCAGTTTTGGTGCCAGCCAGCCCTCTGCTCAACGTCTCCGGCCGCCGCCTCGTCCCTCCCTCTGTCCTGGCCCGCCACAATCGACGGTGACTTGCTGTCCCTCGAATCAGGCCTGTTGTGGGACATTGGCGATCAGGCTGCTCTGAAAAAAGTACATGC